TCCAAGATTTTTCCGATACATCTTCAAGTATTGTTGTGTTCTGTATGCTATTTATTTTGAAATGAACTGTATTTCTTTATTTTCTTGTTTTTAAATTAAGTGACATTTGCAGATTTAGGTTTTTGTCTAAAGGATAACTAAAACGCACCTGATACCTTTTCTCATTCGACAGGAAGTGTCCATTTTTATTTCGCTGCCAACTTACAACTTAAAAATAACCAAATATCACTTTAAGTCAAAAAAAACAAAAACACCAGACAGAACAAGTATTGTTTCTTTATTTACTTCTCGCGTTCCCCACGATACTTTGTGCATATTAAATACGGAGTATATATATAAAATTATGAGCATCGTCGGAATCATTATGTAATAAATAGGTAAATATTTCAAGTAGTAGATTTCTTGTGGATGACATAATGTTATTATCAATATTTGAATTAGGAAGATAAAGAAGAAAAGTGTCCATGGAGTTGTAAATCCCATACTCAATAACTCAAACAACCCATTGACAAAGTATGCGCACATTAATGGTGAGTAAATTCCACACAAAATAATAGCAAGTTGTATCTTAAAAAAATTAGGTTCAATTAATTTTTTATATTTTAATAACTTTATAGGTAGATTTTTACTTGAGATTTCTACTTAACAACTTATCTCTTGGCGAGCTAAGTCTCCAGATCATTTTAATCTCAAATAGTCATCACCATTATTATCTAATAATACAAACCTGAACTTTTTCACTTTTTACATATGCGCAAACTGCGATGTATATCAAAACTAGAATCAAGTTTATAACTAAACTCAAAGGGAGGCTGATGTTAAACAAGTGTTTGTTCATGTTAACCACGATCCAAAATATCAACGATGGTGTTAGAAGAGTTATAATGTTAAATATGTACTGATAAATCATGAATAAAATAGACACATTTTCGTTGATTTTCGTTACTAATTTTGTTCGAGATAATAAGTCCAACATGTTAGCTGTTGTAGAAGGAATCCACCTTCTTCGTTGATTGTAAAGTTCTCCAAAACTTTCTGGACAATTCGTGCATGCATCAGCAGATGCAACATATCCCACTTTATATCCGCATAATGCTAATAACACCGATATCCATCTATCTTCACCTAATATATAATTGTTTTATATTTATCGCACATTTAATTAGTTTCTCACCATGATCGAACTTCATAAAATGAACAGCTTTAGTAGATCTGATTTTGAGTTTTTTTAAGATTGACATGATAGCGCTCCCTCTGTAGATTGTAAAACATCCGGGGCAACAAAGAACGCAGCCGGTTATATTTTCAGATGCTTTATACAGCCAATAACTAATTGCGTATTCAAACTTTTGATACCAAGCAAAAATTCCTTTTCCAACTGGGTGAACTCGTCCACAAGCCGCACCTAATGTTTTATCCCGTTTCATTTGTTCCAATAACATTTCAACACCTTTTGGCCTGAAATGTATATCACCGTCAACCGATAAAATAAACGTATTTTCAGCTTCCAATTGTTTTTGAATGTTGTTTAAGTCGTTTCTTTCCATAATTCTGAAAACGAATTAGTTAAATTAAGGTTATTGATATTTTTTGAAAGAAATATTTAATATTACCGATGACCTAATATGTAATACATATACATAACTTGTGACCATCTTTTCCTCGATCTTACTTTATTATTATCTTTTAAATGAACAACTAATTTCGTTTTTCCGGGTAAAATCCATTCCAATTTACCCCCATAAGGAGTAACGTATTTAACTGGATCTTTTAGCTTAATATCATCATTATAAACTAAAGAAGCCACATTATCCACGCTATTTATTAACTCTTTCACAAAATCGTTCATTTGTGCTTCTTGATTTCTTTGTGATGTTTTTGTGAAAGCATCGTCAAAAACAATGTGACCTAAAATTTCCAATTCAAATTTGAAAAAGAAACTAATCAAGCAGTTAACTCTTACTTTCTAATCTATAATAATTTATAGATTTATTAAAATAATTTCCAATTCGTGTTAAGCAATGGTGTTCATCAAGAATTATAATCGATTTAAGGAACGTTAACATTTCATCTTTAGTTTCGTGCCACATCGTTCCGCAAACATACAACATAGGTACTACATTTTCTTTACTATTTGAAACGTTTTCGATATCAAGAAATTTATCATAATGCCTTCTATTCATTGCTAAATCTTGATCAATTAGAAAAGGTTCGTAATACGGTCTAACGTATAATTTTTCAGTGGACGCTAACACTTTATTTTGTGGTATGTATATATGACAAGTTGTCAAAATGTATGACCCTAATAAAAATAATCCTATAAATATTAACCAAATATCTTCTATTTCGAAAATAGTTGGGTTATTCAAAAATAAATATGAAGGAAATGTTTGTAGGGAATCACACTTAATGTTATTGTTGTTTTCTAAAGAGAGTATCAAAAATCCTAGTGTTGTTACTACTCCAGATAAATGTAATGGAATCGCATAAGATATTCGTTGAATATTAATTTTACAAGCGAATTTCCCAAAAATATATGTTAAATAAGTAGTAAGAACACTTAATATTAAAATCCAAATTGGTGTTAAATTGTTAGTAAGTGTAATATTAGATGTGTTAGTAACATTTCCGTTTATCTAAAAAATCATCAATTATTTTATTTTGTTATTGTACAAAGTTATCCAAGAGTACTGTGCTAAACGAAAATTGAATTCCGTTTATTTTTTCTAGAAATGTAGAACATTATAATAATATAACAAAAAGACATAATTATTTAACGTTGCATGTTGGGAGCCAACATTTAGATATGCTTAGATTTCTTAAGAGAGACATTGCAATTTAATAAGAGCAACTGATAATCATTCAACATCGTTTGAAAATGAGCAATTGAAAATCATTGGAACCGATCAGGAGTAATTTGGAACAAATTACAAAGTATTCGGAGCGATTAAGAGCTAAGGAGAAACTTTAAAAACGAAATATGATGAATGTGAAGAATACTTTTCGAGGTTTGCTGAACTGTCATTGATCAAAAATTGCGTGTTATGACCCCTTCACTTATTTTTCAATAATTTTGCCAACATTTTCAGTCTGATTAAATTTAACTCTTTCTTTTCTGCTTATCATTCAGCTATTCCCGTTCATATCTCCAAAGTTTTTTTCATGGTAGCATACTTCCTTTCTAAGTTACCGATGACATCGATCTTTTCTTCTACGTCTCTACAGCCCATATTAGGCCCTCGCCTCCCTTAACCTTTGCTCCAGGCACTAAAAGATGTGGAAGTGTAGCCATCCGGAATAATTGAACAGGTTTAAGCGTATGATATATTGAAATCTACTACAAATATTAAGTTTTGATACTATTGTTTGCTAACAATGAAAGATGTTAGTATTCAGCAGGAGATATTGGAATCAAGAAAAAAGAAAGTGATATACTGAAAGGCCTAAACTTGCTTTCAAATGTCATTTGAAAAAATCGAGGTTTGGTAAGTCCAGCAATCTAGCAGATCAACTAATTAGTACCACATTGCTCAACCCAACCCAAGCAAATGTTCCCTACTACCTAAACGCAGACTCTTTTACGTAATCATCAAAATCGATTGTGAGCATCACAAAATGGCAGATAGGAATCACGAAAATTAAAATTTGTAAATGTTGCATAATCCGTAAAACAACCTGATTCGCCGAAAATGGGATTTAATAAAACCTTGATGAATCATATTGTTCAATTCATCAAACGAAGCTTGAGAGAGATTAAATCTTCTAGTAGCTCGTAGCTGTTTGGATGTTGCTCTATAAATATTAATGGATGACGCTAATGTCAATTTTTTCGCGTTAAAAAGAAGCATGTTTCTGAACAATAATTACGAAAATCTAAAAAATCTGAAATTAAGTCTAATACATAGGTGGGCATTGTGTATGAGATTTTCGTTAAGCACATTACTGTTGAATGATTTTTTTTCCTTAAAAATTCATACATTTTGAATAACAATATTGTAGTCATCAAAAGCATTTTGGAAAAATAAAAACAAGTGGTTTACTTTCCCATGCATTATCCACTCTATAAAACACATCATTCCAAAAAATAATATACATTTCCATAACGAAACAATACTGTAAGTAAAATATCGACTGTTTGGAAATGTTTTACTTGATACAACCACATCGTTAAAAACACTAGTTTTATAAATCATTTTGTGTCTAAAATAATTTTCCCACCACCCAAATGATATAAAAATGACGGATAGTGGGAGATACCACACATCTTGTCCATCGTAGAAAACAGTTAACAATATTATTCCTATTATTTGTATCGCAACACAAGAAGAATCTAAGCAAATCAATTTTGAGTTTACCTCTTTATCGTTATACTTTGACCAAAGTGCTGTAATGAGATGGATTAATTAAGAAAGCAATTTTAATTGAACAATATAACATCAATCATTTGATATTCTGAGTTATATAAATAGAAAAAAAACTTACATAGCATTGCTGGTATTAAACATAAACAATTCATAATAAGGCATCCTCTAATAAAATCCATTCTAGGTAAAACGTAAAATGCCAAAATCGAATTGCCGATAGTTGATGAAGATTCGCCCAAGAAAACGGAGACAAATTCCAACATACCAGGCATTTTCCATTTTTTAAATAATAAAATTCTTGACGATCTTAAAAACGTGGCCAATTGAGGTACAAAATAAATAAAAACAAGAATCCACATCCAGGTTACAACCTCTTCTTCTGAGAGTGTAATAACAAATTCACCTAATTCACCATCAGCTACTACATTATTAAAAGGATCAAATTAAATAAATTAAAAAAAAAATAATAGCGCTACCATTTTCGTGGCAATATAGTTTTGGTTTGCGATTAAGATGGGCTGTTACAAAAAGTAAACTTGCTTTACATATTACACAGCCAATTAAAACTACAAAAAACGTAATGATACATATCAAAAGTTTGGTAACTTTT